GCAGGCCTGCAAATCACGTCACTTCTCTTCCCATATCAAATGACCATACCCAGCTTCAAGAAAGTGTCCAGATAAAAATTTTGGAGAACGGATATTGAGGGCAAAATAGCAGTCTGCCAATCTCTAATGTTATGTGAAAGTATCAGGATACGAAAGAAACTATACCCTAAATAACAATTGTATGTGGAGAAGTCAGGCAACACCTTGACTTGGTGATCAAAATTACCATCATATGAAAAAATTAACATCAAACAAGGGATATATGGATATGCCCCTAGAAGAACGTAACCTATGCAGTATGCGGACCAAGAATGTATAACTTCAGTCTAATTCGATCTAATCACAAGGAAACATGAGACCAATAATGGTAATATTCTATTAAAAAGAAAAAAGCTGGACCGTATGTATGTATTTATGTATTTATTTATTGGAATAGTAATATTTTTTAATATTCTTTTTTTACGGTGACGTTGGTTAACAAAATCCAGTAAGTTTGGACTGTATTTATTAAAAATGTGAATATCATAAAAGACAAAGGCTGCAAAATCTTTTCCTGTAAAAAGAGGATAAAGAGATATGCATCTAAATGCAATACTTGATGCTACATTATTCTGGAGGGGACGGGAATGTCAAAGGACATTATGAAAGTGTTATATCAGAGTGAATGTAAGAAGCTGATAACCCCCTGTGATTATATAAGAGAATATCCCTAATCTTAGGAAATAGACATATTTAAGGGTAGAAAATAGACATATTTAGGGGTAATGGTGATGTATGTGATATGACATGTGCCTTATCCACAATTGGTTCAGAAAAAATACCGTTTATATATATGTGTGTTCATATACATATATGGGTATGTGTATCTCTAATATATATTTGTGTTTATCTCTATATACACACATATATATATAGAGAGAGATCTATATGTTTATACATGTATTATGGGCTGAATTGTGTCACTTCAAAATTCACACGTTGACGTCCTAACCCCTAGTACCTCAGAATATGACTGACTGTATTTTGAGATAAAGCCTTTAAAGTAATTAAGGTGGCTAGGGTGGGCCCTAATCCAATATGACTGGTATTTTAAGAAGAGCTTAGGACACAGATATGTCCAGAGGGGAGACCATGTGAAGACACAGGGAGAAAATGGCCATCTGCAAGCTGAGGAGAGACGCCTCAGAAGAAACCAACCCTACTGACTTCTTGATCTTGGATCGCTAGCCTTCAGAACTGTGAGAAAATAAATTTCTGTTGTTTAAGCCAACTGGTCCGTGTACTTTGTTAAGGCAGTCCTACTAGACTATTACAATGTATGTATATATCTACATATTTACATATCTGTGTGTGCAT